TAATTATTTATATTATTATTCGTATAATTACATAGTACATATTATATAATTACATAATAATTATATAATATATATATATAATAATAAAAAATAAATATATATAAAAATAAAAATGAAAAAACCTTGTAATGACGTAGCAAGCAGCAAAGACGGATAACAAGGCAGATATAGCAAGTACAACAGCAGCAATGTGTAGGGGTCTTATCTGATGTAGAAAAATATCCTCATCTATGTTAGAATTTTCGTTAACCATTATAGATAACGAATCCGAATTCATCGGAATAATACGTTCTCTGCTACTTGAATTATTTGTTGATCGTTCATCCGACTCAATAGATTGTAGATGGATTGGATTATAAAATTCAATTCTATCTGACAATTGGGGACTGCTGTTAGCTGGTACATTTCTATCTATATTTTGATATGTTATATTATTTTGGCCGTTCATTTTTTTCATAAAAAAGTCCCCCTCTTTTTCATCAACTTCTTCTTCTTCTTCTTCTTCTTCTTTTTTATCGAGTTTGTTTAATTTTTGATCTTTTTCTATTACATGTAAATATTTTGATACGTCACCAAGATAATCGGCGTTACAATAATCTTGACTGTCGCAACAGTTCAATCTTGGCCAGGACACTCGTATCCAAGGTATCGTTGATGATAAACGATTATTTTCTATAGTATCGTTTTCCTTATTCTCTTCTTTATTATCAAAAGAAGATGACGATAAAGATGACAACGATGGCGATAGTTTTGACCTCGTGATCCAAGATTTTGTCTCGCACAATAATGGCGTTGGGCTTCTGGAAAATTATAATATTCTATTTTTGCTCACATATATATATACAAAAGAGTGTAATTTAATTTAATATAAAAATCATTAAAATCCATGTGCTAAAAGTATAAAAAATATTTAACGAAACTTTTCATAGAAATTGCGAAGATGCACAATTTACAGCATTGCATTCTCTGACATTTTCTGTACTTTACATGCTAAATTTATATCTCGACAAAGTATTCTACACGTAGAAAAAAGTGTGTACTTTAATTTAATATAAGTTTCATTAAAATCTATTGACTTTTAGTATAAAAAATATTTACCAAAACTTTTCAAAGAAATTGCTTAGATGCACTATTTACAGCATTGCATTCTCTGACATTTTCTGAACTTTACATGCTAAATTTATAACTCAAGATGGTATTCTACGCGTAGACAAAAGTATGTACTTTAATTTAATATAAGTTTCATTAAAATCTATTGACTTTTAGTATAAAAAATATTAACCAAAACTTTTCAAAAAAATTACAATAGCAGGTTTTTGAGTATGACGGTAACATATATATAATGTATTATAGTAATTGAAATTGATTTATCATTCGTTAAACTATTTATGCATTTAAAATCATATTTCGTTTAAATAATTAATTATTCTTTTTCGAATATTATATATTAAACGAGATTTCAATTTGTTTTCTTTCCTTTTTTTTATTATACGTAAGATCAAATATATAAAACACTCGTGCGTTTATCATATATTTCTCACGCATTTGACAAATATATATTTCAAATATTTTTAATCAAAGTTAAATATTTTTTATTTCGCGATATATACGCGTAACGTATTATATTTATGATAAAATCAAATAATCGCATTAAAGTTTATTTTTATTATGCATGAAGATATTGAAATATCACTTAGGCTAACTTTCTATTCGTAGCATTGAATAACTGTCATCTCTAAAAATATTTAAAAGATAAGAACAAGGTGAAGCAGAAAAACGAATTATTCGAATTTTGTTGTTCGGGTTTAATTATCTCGTCGTCATAGGTCAGAACACAACGTTACTGAATTTATTATATGGCAATATAACCAAAACCAGAAATTCGGCATAGAGAGAATCCGTTTTTCAATCCTTACTGTATATACTAGTTTAGTTTAACGATTTATTACCCAATAACGTAGAAAGGTCGAGAGTCAAATCTTAATTTTATTCCAAATAAATTGATATTTTAATATACTAACGCACACACTCGCGTATCGATTTGTACGTGTGAATATTTTTCTTTATTTTTTTTGTTTTAACTTAAATATTTCTAAATTCAACGTTTCTATTTTATCGTCGAAATATTCTCAAACATTTTTATAATCTCAATTAATGAAATATTCATTGAAATTAATCGAAATATTAATCGAATTTGTATATAATAAAAATATTAATTTAAAAACACAAAAAAAAAAAATAGTACGAACTGCGTGCATCCTCGGGTTGTTGTATTTTCACCAATCTTTCTATCACTTATTGGAATCAATTCGGTGTAACAAAAATATTTAGTCTCGCAGGTATTTTCTCCAGCTTCTTTACAATCCTTACTCGTGCACACACATTTTCTACCTGATGGGATTTACAATAACGTTAAATATTTATAAATAATTCAATAACAAGTTAAACTACATTTGTTCTATCACCATGTGACACGTATTAGATCATTACAAAATAGTAGCAATATATTTATGTTACATGAATATATCAATTCTAATCTAATATATTTATAGAACACTTACCTATACATAATTACACACACATATATACACAAATATTGTTTACATAATATTCTTGTAAATAAGAATACACTTACCCTCAACACTGGTAATATAGATATTAATAATAACAACAATAATGATTAGAAATCTTCCATGATTCGATATAAGAAACATTTCGAATATATTTATATAAGGTGGTTCTAATTGAATTCACCTTTAAAGAAAGAAAAAAAAAAAGTAAAATAAAACACGTGTCATCGAACTTTCATCGATTATTTAATATCGATTAAACGTTATTATCGATCAGTACGAAAAGAATTTTGTTATCTTTGTTTATTCGATGATTCATTACGAGGATGATTAAAATAATCGATATATCCGATCACTTTGAATTAATTTAAATTACTTTTTATGTGTGGCACATGTTCTATTATAATATTATATTTCTAATTAAGACCTTTTTTTTTTTTTTTTAATTATAATCAAAAGACCGGTGGTTGTATGGATGAAACGCGAAAAACGTGTTATCTGTAAGAAGAACTATTTGAAAGTGTTCGAAAGAAGCTACGAAAGATTGGGATGAGGTTTCTCATCGCACGGGGTCTTTTCTAATTTTAGTGCCTCCCACTAAAAGAGGAGAAAACCCCTGAAGAAAGATGAGGAAGACGTCAACAAAGAAGAAGAGAAGAAGAAGAATATATATATATATATAAAAAAAAGAAATAAAACATATACAATAAGAAAGAATAAAAAGAAGAATATGCTTGTGTCCTGTCTTCTTTCTTCTCAAAAGAAACCCGACTACGACACCTCAATGACTTCGTGTCGTGTGCCATCACCTTTCTTATCTTTTTTTAGTATGGGGTTTTTTTTTTCTTCCAACTTCTTCTTCTTCTTCTCATTCTTCTAATATTTTTTTTCTTCACACATCTCTTATACGATAATATATCACAGAAAAAATATTACCAACATATGTATAATAATTATTGTTACATTAAAAATTGTCTATTATTATTATATCAATGATTTAATTTTAATTTGATAAAATGTACGTTCGAGATTATTGTATTATATTTAAATTGTTAATATTATTATAACACTTCTTTTTGTTTTTTCGTTATTATTATTATTATTATTATTATAATTTCTGTGAGAACAATTTTGTTACCATCTAAATTAATTTTAATTCAGATATCACATATATATGAGAATTCTTTTTCCATTTTAAAGAAGACTTTGAATGTGTTTTCCATTTTATCGATCCCTCTCTTTCATTCTTTCTTTCATTCGTTCTATCTTTCTCTCTAGTGACTTAATTTATTGAATTTATTATACTCGCACGATCTTTCGTCGAGGCGCCTCCTTTTTTCGTCGTCGGAAAGACGACTAGGAATAAAAAGACGACGAGAAACTCTTAAAGTCAACCGATTTATTGAAAGAACAACATCTTTGCACGGACGACAGGCGCCTCTTTTCCTCCCCTTCCTTCACCCCCACCTCCACCCCCTCTTCTTCTTCTTCTTCTTCTTCTTCTGCTCTTCATACAACCCTCGAATATAGTAATACACTTTTCTTCGAGAATGTTTTCGACGGGAACGCGTTTTATCTCTTATAATTCTTTGAAATCATTCCAAAAAATTTTTCAAACGATCCAACAAACAACACTTATCCAAAAAATATATTACATTTCGGTTCAATGCTATACTTTTATCATCTTCTTCTTCTTCTTCTTTTTCTCCTTTATTTTTTTGTTTTGTTTTTAGTTTCTTATAAATTATAATAACTTTTGGTACGAATCGTTCAAATCCATTTTTGGATATTGATTACTTGCTTTATTTTGTTTTGTTTTGTTGCGGAATGCAACTACTCGTTGCATTCGAGAACGTGATCTATTTTCTCTATCTTTATTTATTTATTTATTTATTTATTTTCAATAATAGATTGTAAGTATTTCTTTGAAGATAGCGACACTATTTCTTAAAACATTAATATTATTCTATTAAACATCGAATTAATTGTATAAACGCGAATGAAATAAATAAATAAATAAATTAAATATGTGGATCTCTCGAATAAATGATTTTTCTTAGAGAGTTATTTTTCTTTTAATAAGATCACTTTCGACATATTGATATAAAACAAAGAATTACGTGTAATATAATACATTATTATTTATTCTTAATGATAAGGTATCACAGGGAACTTGGACATAAAAAATATTTTGTATGTTGGAATATTAATAAAAAGAAAAATGTATGTCTACCCAATGAAAAATGACGCTGAACTGTAAAGATTTAGGTAACATGTAAAAAAATGATATATTGTATGAGCCTCATGTATGTCGTAATATAATAAAATCAAATTTCCAGTTGCTGAAGAAGTCTCTCAATAAAGGGACGAAACGTCCAACTTAGTTAAATTAAGTTCTACTTCTTTTTTATGTCCAAGTTCCATGTGATACTTTATTATTAAAAATTATAATTTTGGACGAGAGAAATAACTAATTAAAATATTATTTATCTATTCACAATTTCCAATGTGGTGGGGGGAGGGGTGAGTATGGATCAAAATGAAATCAAAATTTATTCGAATACGTTTCGATATGTAAGTAATTGTTCTTAGTAATAATAATAGTAATAGTAAAAGTAAAAATATAAATATAAATAGTAGTAGTAGTAGTAGTAGACTATTTCAATGGTTTTCTCTCTCAAAGATTACTGAGATTTACCTTTTATCATGAGTAAGGATCTCAAGCAACTTAGGGTCTTGCAAGTAGGGATAAGGAATCAAGTAGAAGTAGAATGAAGATAAAAAGAAGAGGAGAGAAAATAAAATGTATATGCCTTGCCACTCACTCGATTGTCCTTTTTAATTAGCTCCTATTTTCTTTTTCTATGTTTGTTTTTATTTTTATTTTTTAATTAAAAAAAAGAAACAAAAGAGTATGTAAGGTAGTAAGTATGTACCTAAGTAAAAGACTTGAATAAAAATAGAACAAAACTAAAGGTGATTGAGAAGGAATAAAAGAGAGAGAGAGAGAGAGAGAGAGGGTTAAGAGATGAAAAGATTAAAAAAGGAGAGATTAAGAGTGAGATAGAAAGTGAATAAGAGATAAAGATTAAGATTGAGATAAAGAGAGAGAGAGATAGGAATACACAAAAATTCACGAAAGTAAAGAAAAGGAATGACAGAGATAGAAAGATTTACAAAAGTAAAAAGAAAGAGAGAGAGAGAGGGATAAAGAGAATTAAAGAGAAATGATAGAGATCAAGAAAAACGAAAAAAGGAAAAGAGAGAGAGAGAGAGAACTATATAAACTACGAGAAGGTAGCGTGTCTTCTTAATTGTTAATGGGAGTAACGCCCATCCGATCTTCCAACGTAAGAGAACGAGTTTTAAAGTAGTATGTAACAACACAACTGATGTGAGAGCGAAGGTAAGCTTCTTCATCCTCTTCTTCGACGATGGAATTTCTCCTTTGCCGTTTAACAAATCCAGTATCTTCTGTTCTCTCTCTTCAACGTAATATCATACTCACTTCGAGAGTTTTCTTTTCTTATTTTTAATTCTTGTAATTTAATTTTTTTCTTTTTTTCTTTATAGAAAAAGAGAGAGAGAGAGAAGGATATGACTTCTATTTATTTGGTTAGTATTTTTAGACATCTCTTTGATCAGCATTTTGTAAATTAATAATATATATAGATATATATTACAAAATAATTCAATTATAGATCATAATTTAATTAAAAACAATTCGAAATATTTTCATTTCTCAAATAATCGATTCGATATATGTCAATCATATAAATAATACGTCGAATATAAAATCAATGATAATCTCTCATTGCAATTATTTATACAAATATTATTATTATTAATATTATTATAACTCGTTAATCAAATTTCTCTCGATCTCCATATATATATATAAAAAAAAAAAAAACAATGTAAATTTATATCTCTAAAATCTAAATGATGTATTTATTCTATACGTCATATAAGAGATTGACAATGATTGAATATTTTTAACTTTCTTATTCTTATTATATTCTAGAGAAATGTAACATTCACCTATTCAATTTGATATTCAAATACGATAACGGTATGTAAACGATGACTTTCATTAATATTGTTTCTTTTATTTTAATCTTTACGATCACGATATTATAGAATCGACCTCGTATCGACAACATTTACCTCTCTCTCTCTCTTTTTCTCTTTATTTTTGAATACTTAATACTTTATAATATAATTTGAAAGTCTCAATCTACCAAATTCGAAATATAATTGTAAGAAAAATGAAAAAGAATTTTATAAAGCTTATCTTCCATTATAATTGGAACAGAATTCGTTCAATTTCTCAGCACAAGATCTTTCCTCATAATCATCGAACATTAAAACCGTCGTACTACCACATTATTTCAGAGATCGTACAAAATAATGCACTTACGTTAAGTATACACATACGTCGGTAAGAGCAATAAAATGTCTACCTTTATACACTCCTCATCGATAAACGAGCCAACCGAGGTGTCATAGTAACCGTGCATTCATAATATTGAATATATTCAACCGTAAAAATTTTCTTTCTCAAACACCCCTTCTTCTCTCCTTCGATAATATTTAAATTATTATTTTCTTTTTTATGTTTTTTTTTTTTTTACGCTACGATCGGAGCTGCAACATATAACCAATTATTATAATAATAACTAAAAAAAAAGAAAAAAAAGAATTAATATGTAAAATATTTAAATATACGATAAATATATATGCGTGCGTATACTATTTTACTTTATTACATTTATATAATAAAAAAATAATTCGTAAATCGAAAGTTCTTGCAATTCTTTTTTCCTTTTTTTTTTACTTAATCCACCGGAGTAGCAATTACCAGTTAATAAAAATCTCGATATTAACTAACGATGAGTTAACAATAGTAAGAAAAAAAAATAGATGACCTTGATTAAAATCTATAGTTAAACAATAATCCGCGTGGTAATTCTCCATGCATTAGAATTGATTAGATGAATAATTAAACGATACCGAATAAAAATGTCGAGAATGTGTTTAACGTGTTTTCTTAAAAATATTAACTTACTCAAATGAGCTATATTACTTTGTGTGGAAATCATGACCATTTTTTTATGACCTGGTAACAATCCAGATGTTGGGATTATGCTTATAGACACCTCATTCTGTGTTGGCCTATTACGATTTGCTCGTTGGTTTCGTTCGTTATCATTAATACGTGCATTATGTTGGAACGGCACACCTTGAACGTTATGCCTATAATTACTGACTACGTAGCTGCACACCTAGTTTTAAAATGAATCAGACGTAGGATAGTTTTTTTCAAACGACGAGACAACGCGTTCGGCTATCACGCTACCGTTATTGGCTATTATTGTTATTATTATTATTATATTTGGAACTTTAATTAATAATTTTCTATTGCGAAACAAGAACGCGTTTACATTTTATACGAAGCTATAATCCAATTTTCTCTTGCTAACACTTTTTCTAAATTTTATTTATTAGAGAATATTTGAACACCCAATTTCTCTATAACTTGAAAATTCAAAGAAAATATAATCCTTTATAAACGTACTGATATTACATGTTTTTATAGATATGTGATTTAAATAATAAAAGAAAAATTAATAGGATAAAAAAATAATTAATAGATTTTGTTAGAACGAACAAAAAAAACATGATTTATAATGTCAATTTGTAGTCAACTCAATCGGCACTCACCGAAATTAGAATAAAAACAGCCAATAATGCAACGCCCAACCAAAAGTACCAAGTCTCCCAAATGTGTCGTGGTGGACGTTTCTGTACTACGAGACAACACTGCCAATTGCAACAACAATAAGGACAATATTTGTCCGGTGGACAAATGAATGGTTTTAATTCAACATTATCGTATCCACTATCGTTTTTCAAATCGAAATTGCATTGATAATAAAAACGAGCCATTATACTATTAAAATAATAGTACTCGCTATCTTATCGTATTTCATAGTTAAATTTAAATTCATACAAATGATATTCATTTTTCACTATGTTCAAATAAATATTATCGTTCGATTCAAACGCTATTGTAATTTGAAAAATATTTGTTCGTTTATCAAATGCAACAACAACGGACACGATTTTATCGATGAAGAAAAGAACAAAATGGAATCAAATTAAAATTGATTTTTCGAATAATTTAATATATACGATTTCACTGTGTAACTTGTGTAGCAGTCGACGTACGGTGAGCCGATGATCTGCCGAATGTTTTCATCGACTTGCTTGAACAGACTCGAAAGGAATCGATAGAACGTGTGTATGGTATATCCTTATTTTCGTATAGTAAAAGCGGTCGATATTATACCAGAGTCTACATTAAAATACTCTTATCGCAACTTTATCGGAACGATCAGTCACACTAGTTTTTTCGCATTACGAATATAACTGTTCTATATTTTGAAAAACTTATTCTATTCTTGTTACCATGTCAAATAATTTCCTTTAACTATCGTTGTTTTCTATATAAAAATATATGAAGGATATCCCTAAGTAATGTTTTCCCATAATATAAGATGAATGTTGAAATAGGTTGAATTAAAGACATAAAAATTAATATTGAGTGGTATCATGAGGTGGTGGTGGGGGTGGTGGTCCTCGTGGTGGGAAGGGTGGTCTAAATTGTGGTGGGGGTGGTGGTGGAGGACCACCTGGAGATACGGGAGGTGGTGGTGGATGTCTCCAGCCTGGTGGAGGTCGAGGTGGAGTTGGTTGAAATTGTCCAAATTGTGGTGGTGGTCCCCCACTTGATGTCGGGGGTGGTGGAGGTGGGAATTGTCCTTGTGGTGGTGCTCCACCAGCCCAGTGTGGTGGTGGTGGTGCCATCATTCTGTTTTGTGCTTGCTGAGCTTGAGAAGTTGGTACAGGCATAGGTGGCAGTGGTGGTGGCATTCCAGGTGGTAAAGGTGGATGAGCAGCCATTGACATTGGTGGTAATGGCGGAGGTGGTATGCTAGAAGGTGGAAATCCGCTTGATGGTGGTGGTGGTACTGGTGGTGGTGGAGGATGTCCCATTGGTGGACCTGGCGTAGCTGGTGGTGGTGGTGGAGGAACCACCATTCCGTGATGCATCACATGATGTTGAGGATGATGAGCCGCTGGATGAGGAACAGCATTTGAATTTGGCATAGGCGGTGGTGCCAAAGGTGGAGCATCGGCGAATAATTGATGTGGTCTGTCCGCTTGACTTAACGGATTCTGAGCTGCCAAAAGTCTTTCAGCAGCACTTCCATGCCTCTCACCTTTTGCGTCACGTTTAAATGCATATGATACAGAAATAGGTCTGTTACATAGATACTGTCCATTCATTGCTTCTATACTTGCATCAGATGCATCAAATGAAGCAAAATTAATAAATGCAAATCCCTTCGAATTACCAGTTTCTGGATCTCTCATTATCTGAAATAAAACAAAATAAATGAGATCAAACTTCTTTTGTAATTTACACAATCAAACATCATGCCATATTATTATTTAATTATACGTACTTTTGGAGTTTGAAGTATAACACCGAATGCACTGAATGTATCGTATAGTAACTTCTCATCTACCTCAGGATCAAGATTACCAATAAAGATGTTTGCACCAACATCAAGATTCTTTTGATGAGCGCTTGCTTTATTGACTCTGATCGGTTTACCGTACAGCTTTATCATGTTCATTATTTTAATAGCATAATCCGCATCTTCTTCACCCATAAATTCGACAAATCCATAACCTTGATGCATTTGTGTGACTCTATCCTTTGGCATATGTACATTTACTGAAACATATTATATTTTATAATTATTAGATAATAACAAACATTTGATACAATATTAATTACTATATCTAAACTTACCCACTGGGCCAGACTGAACAAATAATTCCCACATCAAAGATTCTGTTACTTTATCATCTAATCCTCCCACATAAATTGTAGCATCTAAAAATATGTGAAATATAAATTAAAAATATTCATACAAAAGTATGAAATAAAAAACGATTGATAAAACATATTGATAATAAATTAGAAATCATACAATTTTATATTGAAATTTTTTATTAAAATTAATTATAAATTACCTTGATTTCTTTCTGCTATTGGACCAGCTGCCATAATGTAGCTTTAGTGTCTAAATTAATTAATAAAAGTACTTGTATTACTGTAAAAAAGCAACAAATGACAAATATAATATAGTTGGTATTTTCGGATGTAGATTAATGTAAAAATATTTAATCATAATTTGATAATTTTATCCATTTCACTTTTTAGGCACAACAAATACACACAAAATTATATTATTAAATTGTATACACTTATTCACAAAATAAAGTTAATTGAAATAAAATTACACGACAGATGCAAGCAATACGAAGCCGGTGTAAACAAGGTTAGTTTTCCAAGAGCGGGCTTTAATGATCATGCGCATTCGAAGAATCATTGTGATTGGACGATTTTCTTAATCGAGATGATAAAATTATTTTATATATAAATTTTTAATATTGTGACAAATATTACAAAAGTTAAAAATATATTTTGTATGCAATATTATCAATATCTTTTATGATATGTCTGATATAATATAAGGTTTACAATATAATAAAATATTTTATTATTAAATTATTATTATATATGTATATATATTTATGTAGAAAAATAAAGTTTAATCAATACTGTATCACTTATCTTCTTAAAAATACATACATAATAAATCTTATTCCTTTATAAATTATTTGGATTGCGATAATTAAAAATATATATATTTTTTTTTGTATAAAAATAATTATGATCCACACGAAAAACAAGCATCTCCATTTTGAATGGAACACATCAATTTTGAATCAGTTTCATTATCATTCTCATCATCATTATCATCATTATCATCAGTATCATCATTATCATCATTATCATCATTATCAACGATTTGTTTGTCAATTTGCACTTCTTTATTTATTTTTTCAGCATTTATACATTGATTTTGTTCTTTTTTATTACTGTTGAGTTTATTTATGTCTGATTGTGTTTTCAAACAGTACATACCAGTTTTTAAACCCTAAAAACATTAAAATTTTTATTATAAATAACATATAATTAAAATATATATTTAAAGATTAAGGTATGCTTACCATTTTCCAACCATAGAAATGCATTGAAGTAAGTTTATTAGTCGTTGGTTTAGCCATATAAACAGATAATGATTGCGATTGATCTACAAAAGGTCCACGTTCGGCTGCCATTTTAAGAAGTGTTTTTTGCGGAATTTCCCATATAGTTTTATAAAGTAATTTTATATCCATTGGTATGTGATCAATATTCTGTAAAATATTATTATTATTATTATTATTATTATAAGCTATAATAAAACAACAAAAGAATAAATAATAACAAAAAAAAAAATGTAAATGAAGAAAGGATAACTTGCCTGAATCGAACCATTATTAGCTATTATGTCATCTTTCATTTGTTCGTTCCAAAGTTTTAATTTAGTAAGTTCTCTCAATAAATGAGGATTAACTATTTGATAATCTTTAGATGCAACATGCCTTATATAAATATTACTTTTATATGGTTCTATGGATTCATTATTTCCTAGAATCAGTGAAGTAGATGATGTTGGCATTAATGCAATTAACAATGAATTTCTTACACCAAATTTAAAAATGTCTTTTTTTAATGTATCCCAATCCCATAGATCAGTCGGGTTTTGATTCCACATATCATATTGTAAAATCTGTATTTACAAAAAAATGTTAACAATTAAATAGAGATTCTAAATAAAATGATAAGGATTGAAAAAATTGTATGAAATTGATAACTTACGCCATCACTAACAGGACTTTCTAAATACGTTTCATAGATTCCTTTTTCTTTGGCTAATTCGCAACTGGCTTCTAAAGCTCCGTAGTAGAGAGTTTCAAAAATTTGTATGTTAAGTTTCTCGGCTTCTTCGCTTTCAAATGGATAACGCATTAAAATAAATGCATCGGCTAATCCTTGTACACCAATGCCTGTAATGAAAATAAAATATGTTAGTAAATATTTAATATAATTTTATATCATTTGTAAGTAATACAATATATTTACCTATAGGTCGATGCCTAAGACTCGATGTTTTTGTTTCTGGAAGGGGATATTGATTGATATCAATAATCGTATCTAAATTACGTGCGACAACTTTAGTTATCATTTTAAGCTTTTCAAAATCAAATTTTCTTTCTTTAGGATCCACGAACATGTTAACAGCTATAGAAGCTGAATTGCAAGTACCAATTTCATCTGAACTTGAGTAAGCTATAATTTCGGTAGATGCATTACTGCATTTAATAGTTCCTACATTTTGTTGATTCGTCTTTCTATTGCAGTGATCCTTATAAAGCATATATGGGCTACCAGTTTCTTCTTGCAATGCAAGTATGATAGACCATAATTCTCTTGCTTTGATTTGTTGATTGTAATTTCCAGATTTTTCATAGCTTAACAATAATTCACGATTTAAAATATAGATTACAATGAAATATTTCGTTACAAACTGTGAAGTACAACTTACTCGGTATATAATTCTTCAAAATCTTCTCCCCAAACGTCAGCTAATCCGGGAGATTTACAAGGGCACATTAAAGACCAAAAGTCGTCTTCAAGAACACGTTTCATAAAAAGATCTGGTATCCATAAAGCGTACGACATATTTCTCGCTCTATTTTCATCCTTTCCTATATAAACAAAAATAATAATCGATATTAATATATTAATGTTGCAATATAAAATTTGGATAAATCGAATAAAATTAAATTACCAGTATTTTTCTTCAAATTTAAAAATCCAAATATATCTGAGTGCCATGGTTCTATATAAATGGTAAATGATCCCGGTCTTTTACTTCCATCTTGATAAACATATTCTGCTGTATTATTATAGACCTTTAACATAGGAACTAAACCATTAGATACTCCAAATGTGCCAATTATTCGTGTGCCTCTCGCTCTGATACAATGGACATTTAATCCAACTCCACCACCAGATTTACTGGTCAATGCGCATCTCGTTAAAGTATCACAAATTCCTTCTATACTGTCTGCAGACATTGTTAATAGAAAAGAACTACAAAAAAAAGAAATAATATAATAATTTTATCGATTAATATAACATAATTTATAAATATACCTTGACATTTGTTGTTTTATGGAACATGCAGTAAAAAGAGTTACAGAACTATGTATAAAATAACGTTCGGATAATAAATTATATGTTTCAATAACTCTATCAATATCTTCTTCATGAATTCCAATAGCAACTCGCATTAACATACACTGCGGTCTTTCGACAATTTTATTTTCAATTCTGAACAAGTAATTTTGCTCAAGGGTCTTGAAACCAATATAATCATAATGATAATCTCTTTCGTGAACAATAGCGTTATTTAATGTAGTTGCATTTTTTTGAATAATGTTGAAGTATTTCTCAGAGATGAAAGAAATATTTTTCCCACTGTGCATGTTCTTCGTGTTGTAGACATCAGATATTACTTCTGTGAAATGAATAATTTATATTTAATACAATTATTTCAATAATGACTAAATATATATAAATATAGTTTTGGTAAATGATTTTTATACATACCGCTAAAGACACTGTTAGTTTCCTTGTGAAGATTAGATACTGCAATTCTAGCAGCTAACACAGCATAATCTGGATGCTTGGTACCCATACTTGCTGCTATCTCAGCAGTAAGGTTGTCTAATTCGGCAGTAGTTATACCAGCATATAAACCATTTAAAGCTTGAATAGTAATTGCACACTAGAAATAATAATTAACATTATTTAATGCACTTATTGTAAAAATATATTACCGAGTATAACAGTATAAATTATTTTTAAAGGCGTCGATAGAGAAATAATTTAAATTAAATTTTTAATTTATACTTACAGGATCAACATATTCCATATCCAATCCATAACATAATTTTTTAATTCTAGTTGTTATTTCATCAAAATGCACATCTTCCATCCGACCACCTTTAATAAACAAAAAAATATATTTAAATTTATAATTATGAAAAATTATTTATCTTTATAAATATTTCTTTATTATTTATAATTACCTCGATTAATTACATGCAATTTCTTTGATCCAATCATTTCTTGTAATGTTTATAATAACGTTTTATGTGCACAGTATCTTTTATTTTAGCGCGTAACGGAAATGGAATAATATAAAGTAAATTCAAATTACACTTACTATAATATTTTTTATTAACCTACCATGTATATCAACCTTTAATAATGTTAGTTCATAATCAGCGTTAAAAATATTTAAGCTTTATTTGCACGTTCACACATTAAATCTGTTTGCATGAGTATTACTTACTTATGCATCATTTTCAACTATTGGACAAACTTAGGGCGCGTTTCTAGCAATTTAATCTGATTGGCCTAGATTGATGTAATCTGATACTGAACTACAAAATATAATAGAAATTAATTATAGATTAATAATTTGTTATCAACATAATAATATATATATATAGAATTATATATATTTTATATAAATTATATATATACAAAAATAAAAAAAATTGAATTTACATTTAAGGAATGCTTACTGTGATTTCTTTTTAGAAACAAAAATTAATCATTTTATTTACATGAATAATAATATATAAATAATTTATAATTTTTCATCTATGGAATGGATAAAATAAAACAATCTATCGCATATAAATCTAGAGAAACAAAGCACTTATAAATCTGTGCTTTTAAGATGATCCTGCAGCTTGAGTTTCTTGTGTAGCTAAAACAAAATAATAAAAAATTGAATTAATAAGAATATATGAAAATATATTCTTACATATAAGTTATTTTTTAAATATTCATACCTTTGTAAGAATATTCCAAGGCAGTGGCAATAGTTCTCATATCACCTTCTATGCTTCGAGCCCAATTTTCTACATCACCAATTTCTTTCAAGGCACTTGAAAATGATTCCACTAAATTCAACCAGGATTGCGTTTGTTTAGCAAAATTGGTGGCGCTGTGTTGTAATTGTTTAGCTTCAGCATCAAGCTTTTTTTGATTCAAATATGCCTGTGCTACCCTAAATATACATTAAACAATATGTAGACTTTATGTTTACAAATGAAGATATAATAAATACTTACCCAACATTTAAATGATCTACAAGTGCTTGAGTTAAATTGTTAGCAGCTTGAACAGCCTCCTTACGTTTCTGTTCTGTTAAAAAATAATTATTTTAAATATGGTTCTTAACATTATAATATTAAAGTATTAACATGTTCGTTATATCAATTTCTATCAAGAGTCCAATGTAAAACATTTGTGACAGTAAGTAATGCGCAAAATAAAATCTATATTTGACGTAGTAGCAAACATGTTTAAATAAAATCAGAAAGAATTATAATACCTTGTCTTTCCTTTCTTGCTGCTTGTTTACTTTGGTGTTCCTTGACAATTGATGATAACATGGTTGATCTCTTTTTTTTAATAGCGTTTTATGTTCTATGCATATAAAAATATTTGAATGCTTTAATTATTTAATTTATACAATATTATTTATACTTGAATTAATAAATGAGTAATTATAGAGGTTATTATCGAGATATTGTGTTCATTTGTATTATTAGGAGTTACTACTTACATGTAAAATAATGTTACTTACAAGTAATCGATATGTGTATTGTTAAACATTGATTGCAGAAAACATTAATCTAATATTTTCATACAAAAACAAAAGTATTGATAAAAGATTATGCAAAAATAAAAATTAATACCGCATAGGCAACCCTGTTTTATTGATTGTTATTCATTTTTAGTTTGATTATTGGTAGGAGTAGTTAGTCGACCGAGTTGTTTGTAAACAACGATAATCGAACATACAAGATTCCAAAATTGAGGTTGCGTCAGGGTCGTGTTGCAATGTTAATTTTCGAGAATTATCGAAGTTATTTTTCTTAATCGATTTTTCAATTTAAAAATGGTAAAATAATAATAAATTTATCATATGTATAGTGAAAGTAGTTACATTTTTCTCTATTAACTTGAAAATTTGGATAATCTGATTGGTTTAGTTGAAAATTTCTTCGTACCATAGATAGCGCTGATTTGAATTTCTTTAATTTTCCTTTTTCGAGATAACGATGATGGCGTCCAGTTTTCGATGGTGCTTAGTTGACCTGTTGATAGTCAGATTGAAATAAGCTTAGAAAAAAGAATAATAAGATTATTGTGAATGCAGATAAGTTAAACAAATGCTTCGTCAAAGTTGAAAAGTGAATTATTATGATCGTCTTATGTGACGATCAATATTTTATCAGAGATAATTATTTTTAACCGCACAATGCTTCAACATTTAGTGCTTATGAAAATTATCAAAGAAGTATTGTTATTGCGTATGCGTTTGATATAAATTGGCGCGCAATGATTCCTATCGTTACACATGTTCATTGAATAATATATATATTCAATAACGAATATTCTTCAAGGAGTTTCAGTCACATTATTGATAATATATGAAAATGTAATGAGATTTTGTGATTGTCTGTTAAATTCAAATTAACATCTACATTTTTATTATTATTATTTTTATTTGAAAATATATATTTACTATTTTCTCTAAGAGAGAATGGCAATTCGACTTACACTGGAATGTGGACATGTATCAATATTACGTGAGCGTATATCTCCTGAAGGTTTTACTCATGACTGGGAAGTTTTTGTACGAGGAGTTGATAACACAGACATACATCACTATATTGAGAAAGGTAATTTTTTGTTTATACCAAGATTAACATTTTTAATTAAGTCACTTGAAATATTTTCTAATTTGACATTAACAGATTGTTATTTATTTATTTTCAGTTGTGTTTCAACTACACGAAACATTTCCAAAACCTAAAAGAGTAATAAAGGAACCACCTTATGTGGTCAAAGAATCAGGGTATGCAGGGTTCATGATCCCAATTCATGTTTATTTAAAAAACAAGGATGAACCAAAAAGATTTCAAATTTTGTACAAACTTAATTTACAAACTAGAGGAAGGATTATTAATAAAGTTATACGTCATATTGAAATAATAAATAATCCATCGGAAGAATTTAGAAGAAAGCTTTTAAAAGGAGGCGGTGTTAGTATATCAAACAGAGTTTTGTTTTACTTAATAACAAAGTTGTATCAAAATGTAATGCATATCTAACCATGTTATTTATATTTTGTATTTATAGTTTACGATATCCAGTACAGAGAGTACATCAGAAAGAGGCGAGGTAAAAACTCCCGTTATGGTTGGTAAACCAAAGTTATCTATCGGTGAGCCAAAGAAGCATCGCCCAATAGAATCCAAGACATCTAACTCGTTCGCTGAATTATTTGGACCACCTATAAAAACGGCGAAAATATCTCCTGAAAGTAAAAAGGTAACTCCATCTGATAAAAGTAATACTGTCAAACCTATAAGTATATCTGAAAAGGCTGATAAAGTAGATAAAATAACTAAAAGTAAAGACAGTCCCCATAAGGATACGAAGAAAGATAAAACAGAAGAAAAGAAGGATAAAAAAATCAAGGATCCATCAAAGGAAAAAAGTAGAAGTAAGGAGAAATCAAAAAGACCTTCTAGTCCTGCAAGTAAAGGTTATTCGAGTCCAACGAATAAACGGCTTTCTCCCGCTCCAGTAAAAAGGCCCCGTAGCTCTTCACCTCCGTCTTCTGTTAAAAGGTCCTCGCCACCGAAGTCTAAAGAGAAAGATATAAAGAAATCTGTACAAGAAAAGGAAAGAGAGAAAGATAAAGATAAAGAGAAAGAAAAAGAAAAAGAGAGAGATAAAGATAAGGATAAGGATAAGACAAAAGATAATTCTAAAAGTTCCTTGGATGTAAATAAGACTGACAAAAAGAAGGAAAAAAAGAAATACAAGGATGACAACTATAAAGAGAAAAAAGAAAAATACAAGGAAGGTGAACGTTCTAGTGTTAAGGAAGCTCAGAAGATAAGTGATAAAAAATTAGAAAAGGCTGATAAAGAAAAAGAAAAATCTCAGGATTATAAGTCAATAAAGGATGGTAGAAAATCTCCCAAAACCATTAAAGAAAGCGATAAGATTAAAGATGATAAATTATCCAAAATCGATAAATTGGAAAAAAGTGAAAAGTCCGAGAAAATTAAGGAAAATAAAAGTGATAAAGATAGGACGAAGCATAAGCATAAGAAGAAAGATAAAAAAGAAAAGAGAGATAGCAGTAGAGAAAGGGAGAAAAAAGAAAAACGAGAGAAATCCAAATCGTCTGCAGAAAAGCAAAATAATGTGCCAGCGTCGTCTAATCCTCTTTCTATGCTCTTTGCATATATGCCAGAAAGAGATAGTAGCGATTCAGCACCTTCAGTAGATGAAGAGTCTTTCAATGAAAATAAAACAATAAATCTGAATGTGAGAAAGGAATTGGATGATACAGCACCCTCGACTGTTTCAACGGATCAAGTAACAAGACCACCTTCGCCGCCACCTGTAAATGAAGTAAAGAAAGATAAAAGTGATCGTAGTAAAAGAGATAAACCAAAAAGTAGTAGAGGAGAGGACAGGGAAAACAGGAAGAGAAAACGAAGAAGTGAGAGTAAAGGTGATGACGAACATAATCCTAAAAGGGAAAAGGATAGGAGTCATTCGACTTCACCATTGTTGGAATTAGTATCCTCTAGTCAGTCACCGGTTGTGGTGGATGGCGATTCTATTCGAGATATTGTAAAAGAAAAAAATGATCGTAATATGATAGAACAAACGAATAAAAAAGAAGGAGAAACTGACGGGGAACAAGTGGCACCCGATTCTACCAATTGTACTTTGGTAGAATCCGACTCTGGGGAACCTCCTGTATTTTCCGAAGATTATGTGTCACAGTTGAAGGAGTTACAACACAAGATAATGACGTTACAAGATAACGATGAATTGCAAAGAGTTGTTCGTGTTATTGAAGAGACAGGTCAATACGAAATTACTAAGAAGACATTTGATTTTGATTTGTGTGCTCTCGATCGCAGAACAGTACAACGTCTCCAACAGTTTTTTTCTGCTTCATGACTATCTGTAATATAAAACATGACACTTTTTTTTCTTTTTTTTTTTTTTTTTTTTAAATTATATATAAAT